GTGTGAATAGATGTTTTTGGGAATCAATATTGCTTCGCTCATGCCTCAACGAATGCGTGCATTTATAGAAACGTCGAGAATCCTCTTTCGTGTAAAATCTCACAGAGAGTTGTGGTAGTTAGAGTATCTGCAGGTGGGTCACTGGTCATTTGAAGCATTGTCGTGTAAAAGGGATGGTTTTTTCCCTCTAGTTCTACTTTTTTTTTATGGTTAATGCTATGCAACACTAACCTTCTATAGTCTCCTTTAACACTCACTTTCATTTCCTTCCCTTCCTTCTTTATCTTTCTCCGGTAATCAAAATGTTACTTTTAACGTGGCGAAGCGGAGCACTCTACTGGTGATTCCCATCCCATTTCACACCGATTCTACCGTCTTTGTTTACAGCTCAGGGATGAAACACAGGCAGGTTGCCAGGTCACTGTACATACAGGCTTGTTTATTTGGGAAATCTAAATGGCATTTCCAGTTTTTTGTTATCAAAATTCGATTGTGTTCCTCCCCACGGTGGGCTAGCAACGCCATACAAACTGCATATGTTAACATGTGAAAGATTTCAAGCCCCCGTCCTCTTCTAATCTTATAGCCAAGGACATTTATTGTTCGTATCTTTAAAATTTCTGAAATACGCAAATTCCAACGAAGAGAGTCATCGATGAACAATCTCGATGACTGTAGCTGTTTTTGACATTTCTAAAATACTTAGTGGCTTATACACAAATTCCAACGAAGCGAGTCCGATGAACAATCTAGATGACCGTAGCTCTTTTAAGATGATTTAGATTTAGGCGGTTTTGGATACACTCCAGTTCCTTAAACGATAGAGTGGGGAAAAAGAACTTGCGAGGGTTAAGTGCCAAGGGAGATTAAGACGAAAACGTGAAAATGAGGAAGATCATGAAGGCGGTGTGTATGAGGTCATTGAGGCAGGGCGAAGGGGTGAAAGGTCGTGAGGAGGGACGTAGCTGAGAGGGCGCAGAGATGAGGGGGACACAGGGCTTTCATTTATATTATTATTTTATCACTTTCATTCTTTTCCACTAAACTTTATTCTTTTTGGTTAAATGAGGCAGCCATCTATGGCAGCTAAGGAAAAATTAAATTTAGCTACTTATATTATTTTAACTGCTAGTCGGCTCAGTTATCTGCATTTTTCCTTTCATCTGTAAATTTTTGGCTTCCCTA